AGTGGGCAGGTCGGCGATCTTGAGTATGCCATGCAGCGCCTTCGGCCTGTTGTTGAGCTGGAGGCGCTTGAGGCTCGCGGCATTGAAGGCCAAGATGTGCTCGCGGCTTGTCGCGGCCGACACGGCCCTTGGAGTGGATGGGTGGTCCACTCGTGATTTGGGTCGGCTTCCCGGCGAGGCCCTGGAGCACTTGGCTGCCATTTTCAATGCCATTGAGTATGCCCTTGAGTTCCCCCAGCAGGTTTATCTCTGTCTGGTTGCTCTTCTGCCCAAAACGGCGACTTCTGAGAGACCCGTCACTAAATGCCCCACCCTGTACCGGTAGTACACCCGCATCCGCGGGCACAAAATCCAGGATTGGACCGATTCCCACGTCGCCTTTTGGGATGCGGCTGTGAAAAACTCGTCGGCCCTGCGCGCCGCCATGCTTCGTGCGGTCTTGCACGAGTGTGCTCGTGAGGAGTTTTTTTTTTTCGGTTTTGGGGCATTGGGATATGGGGAAGTTCTTTGACCCCATAGATCCAAGTCGGCTCATCGACTTGTCTCAGGCTGTCGACTACTCCTCCCTCCTCCAGTACCTGGGCCTCCTGATCCCCACGTCTCCCAGGCTCCTGGAGGTCCAGTCCCTGGTGTCGGGGGTGATGCAGGCAGGGCAGTCTATTTTGGCTGGGTGTTCCCAGCCCCTGCCATGGATCAAATGTTATCTCTATGACATCTTGGAGGCGGCGCATTGCCGAATCCCTAGGGTTCCGATTTCGGCGTATGTGGACGACCTTACCCAGTGCATCCAGGGCTCCGCGCAGGATATCGTCTCTAAGCTGGTGCCAGCTGCTCGCGAACTTCACGATCTATTGATGCGTCGTGGGTGTAAGGTTTCGTCGAAGTCATGCGTTGTCGCTTCTTCTCTGAAAGTTGGCTGGCCTGTTCAAGCTCTCTGTGATGAGTTGGACGTTCCGCTTAAAGTTGTTGATTATGTGAAGGATCTGGGAGTCGGGACCACGGCTGGGATGAGGAGGACGATGTGGAAGATGGGGCAGCGGAAGGAGGAGGCAGAGCGTCGCAGTAAAAAACTCACGTTTCTGGCCCATGTCAACTCGTGCGCGCAAGTTGTTTAAACCAGGCGCGTGTGCCGTTGGCACGTGGAGCCATCAAGTCCTCGGCACACCACCCTCGCACATGCGTCAACTTCGTGCCCAGGCGGCTAAAGCGACAGGCCGATGGCATGCTGGTTGTTGTACAACTACCATGCTTGCTCTTGATCATGCTATGTCTGATGACCCAGCGTATAAGTTGCGCTATGACCACCTCTTGGAATGGAGCCGGACGTTGGAAACCCTTGACCCTGGTCAGCTCTCTAGCATCAACAGAGTATGGCCCAAATTGTTAGCGAAGCTGTGTGGTGTCCCACAAGCTCACCGGTGGCGCCGCGTTCGGGGCCCCATCGCGTCCGCCATGATGTGTGTCTTGGAGCTCAATGGGATCCCGCTGGAGCCCCACACCTGGAGATTTTCTGATGTTACCCTCCGTGTTGATCGGTGTGATTTCCCATACTTTTTGTGGACGGTGGTTGAAAAACAGGTGGGCCGCATGGTTTGGGCTCAAGCCTCCGAAACTTACGGGGGGCAGGGCTTGCATGAAGGTGTTGATTTTACTGTATTGCGATGGCTGCGGAGAACCCTTTCTCGGCAGGGCGACTTCGACGGCGAAGCTATTTTGAACCACCTCGCTTCTGGCGGCCAGTGGCCTGAGCAGCGCCTCGAGGACTGGCTATCTCAGCCACGGCGTGTGCCTTCGTTGTGGAGTTCGCCAGGAAACACCTTGGCACAGGCATTGGGGCTGTCAAGATAATGCCAACATTGATGATGACAGCATACACCTCACCAGCCATATGTATCAAGATTCCTTCGATGGTGTGCCTGAGTCGGAGTGCTTCTGGACCCGTGGGCTCGTTCCTCTAGGCTGGACGGTAGGAGTGTTGCCTCCCGTGGAGACGAAAGTCTAGGCCTGGGGGTCTTTTCATTAGGCGCTCCGTGAAGGTATCCTCATTTACGGAGGGATTTGCGGGAGCGACGGTTCTGGAGGAGAACATGCGAAGGTTTGGAGGTTGAGGAGATGCGGGTGGTCTGTTGTTCACCTCCATCCAGGGTCCCTCCAGGTGGCTGGCGTGTTGTGTGGAACCCTCCCCGGTGCGGAACAGAGCTCTCCCCGAGCAGAGCTGTATGCCGTAATCAAGTTGTTGCAAATGGTTGTAGGTGACGCGGTGTTGTACACCGACTTCCTGCCGATTGCTCGCGCTTTTGCGCGGATGAACGTCGATGTAGATCACTCGTGCATGCTGGACTTGTGGCAGCAGGTCTGGGACCAGCTCGGCGACAGAGGTGGCCGGCTGGACGTCCGCTGGCGCAAGAGCCACGCCACCTTCAAGCAGGTCTCCGCCCACCGCCTGACCCCCCAGGGATTAGTAGCCAATGGCGTTGCCGATTTCTTTGCGGGGGAAGCTGCCAGGTGGGGGGCCCTCCCTGCTGATAAGGTGCGGGAAATCTATAATGTTGACGAAAACAGTTTAAATGTTGTCAGGCGTCTCCTCGCTGTCTCCAGGCACGTAGCGCTCACGTGACCTAGGATGCGCGAGGACCGCCTTGGCAGAGAGGACCACAAAGAGAGAGGGCCCTGTTCGAGCAACATCCGCCGAGCGAGATTGCGTGTGCAGGGCCATGATGTGTCCAAAGTTGCTGGGTCTTTCAAGTGCTCGCGATGCCTCTGTAAGTTTCCCGCTGTCCGTGGGGAGCTGGCCAAATTCTGGCCTGGTCCGTGTCCTGGGGCGCTGGTGTTGGGGTCCTCGTCGTCTAGCAGGTTGGGCTCTTCGACCTCCCCTGGCCCTTCGTCCCAAGGAAACCCGAACGGACATCCATGTTTCTCGCGTGCGCACCTGACGCACGTCATGGCTGAATTCAAAGGTATACTGTACTGTCGCTCCTGCGGGTGCTTTGCTGCCAGCACTGTTCAGAAGCTGGCCAAACCTTGTCTATCCGAGTCGCCGGCTACAGCCGAGTCGCCGGCTACAGCCAGACGAAGGCCGTCGGCAACTGGCAGGCGCAATCTTGAGCGGCTGGCAGAAGGCAAGCCCCCCAAGTACGGCTTGGCCTTCCCCGCTCCCTGAACTTCGATTGATCCCGAGGGCCCGAGCTCGCACTCGTGAATCCCCCGAATGCTGGAATCCATGGAATCCTCCTCCTCCTCCTCCTCCTCCTCCTCCTCCTCCTCCTCCCCCTCCTCCCCCTCCTCCTCCTCCTCCCCCTCCTCCTCCTCCTCCTCCTCCTCCTCCTCCTCCTCCTCCTCCTCCTTTTTCTCTCCCGCCCCCGGGAAGACGAGGTCGGATCAACTAGCCCACCCCCTTGCGCAGCCAGCCTTGGAAAAGGGCTCAGAGGACCGCTTGTGCCAATCGGGCCTTGCCTGCGTCCTGGCCGAGGCACTGATGGGCACGTCGTCGTTGCAGCGGGTTGCGCCCAACCGTTGCCCCACTCGTGGCGCCCACGGCCTGCGGGTGGAATCCCACAGCTACACCACAAGTGGCTTCGGCGGAGGTTGTCCACTTTTTCCCGGCAAACTGAGCTTTTTCCCGGCAAACTGGACTTTTCCCCAGCGCTCCGCCGGGAAAGAGTCCAGTTTGCTTAGTTTTTGTATGGAAGCTTGAAGCATGGATTTCCGAAAATCCCACTATCACCTTAAGGGTCTCCAACTCCCGCTGCGCAGATCCTAGCCGGAAAAGAGTCCAGTGGTTGACTTGTGTCGTGCGGCCTTCGCCGTAGCACTACTCCTCGCAGTGTTTGTAATAGTAGTAGTAGTAGTAGTAGTAGTAGTAGTAGTAGTAGTAGTAGTAGTAGTAGTAGTAGTAGTAGTAGTAGTAGTAGTAGTAGTAGTAGTAGTAGTAGTAGTAGTAGTAGTAGTAGTAGTAGTAGTAGTAGTAGTCGTAGTAGTAGTAATAGTAGTAGTAGTAGTAGTAGTAGTAGTAGTAGTAGTAGTAGTAGTAGTAGTAGTAGTAGTAGTAGTAGTAGTAGTAGTAGTAGTAGTAGTAGTAGTAGTTGTTGTAGTAGTAGTAGTAGCAGTAGTAGTAGTAGGGTTAGTGGATTAGTACTACTAGGAGTGATTGTATTAAGGATAGTGAGATTACGAATAGTAGTTGTAGTAGTGGAAAGATTAGTGGTAGTAAAAGCAGAAGTATTCGTAAGCGATGTCAAAAACCGTCCAGGTAGACGTACTACTGGTTATCCGCCACCGTGCCTCTGGGCACGGAGTGGGCGTTTCCTGAGGTCCTCTGCCTCGTCCCCTGAGCCTGAGTCCTCGCTCCTGAGGAATCATTAAGGGCACCAGAGCCCAAATTGCAAAATCTCCCGGGCCTTGTCGCGGTTCCCTTGGGCCTTGTCGCAGCTGCCTTGGGCCTTGTCGCAGCTGGCCGCGTGACTTTTTCGGGCCCACGAAGGCCCCAAGACGTGCCAAGAGGGCCCCAAGAGGCATCCAAGACGGCCCAAGAGGGGCCCGAGACGCCCAAAGAGCGCTCCAAGACGCCCAAGATGGCCCCAAGACGGGCCAAGAGGCCTCCAAGACGGCCCAAGAGGCCCCCAAGAGGCCTCCCAAGAGGGCCCCAAGAGGCTAACATTGTTGATTTCCCATTGTGTTTTTCGATGTTTGTTGCTTTCTCGCCTTTTCGGCTTCCCGACGCTCTGAGACGGCCCAAGAGGCCCCCAAGACTGCAAGTAGTCGGCGGAAGCTGCGCAGTGGTATTGATCTGTGTACTTTTTCTGAACTCCTAAAGCTCAAGAGCCCTGCTCACAGGGCTTCTAAACTCCCGTGCCTCTGAGCACAAGCGAGGGGGCGCTAGAGCCGAGACGGTAGCAGGCAAAACACATATGGAAAACACAACTCCAATGCACAAAACTGAAGCTATGCAATATCATGAAACATGCAACATCTGCCACCCTGCTGGGCTCACTCACTCATGCTCAGGCTTGCTCGTACTCGGAATTGCACAGATAAGGGTCCTCCAAGCTGAGCATCCTTGAGTCCACCTCCTCGTCCGAACTGCACTCAGTCATGGCCTCGTATGGCAGGAAGTCGGGGCCAGCAGCTGCATTGACATGAACTGTTGCACCACATGGAGTCTTCAGAGTCCCAACTCCCACGTGTTCGAACGGCTGGATACCAGCTGCCTTCCTCTTACGCGCACTCTGGTACTTCTCGTCGTAAACTAGCTTCCAGCGGTGCCCGTTGTTGAAGTACATCCGCAGCTGGCCCGGCTCGTGTCCCTTCGTCAGCGAGTTGGCGAGCTGAGCATCTCCATGGACCCAGAGCATCCAGTTGTTCGCCGCCTGTGTCCCTTCCTTCAGCGTCATTGCCTCCACGTCAGTCCGTTTCTCCTTGCCCCGGAAGGTGTAGACCGTAGTCTGCAGCTTGTCGTACAGTCCTTTTGAGTCCACAACCACCGCTCCTGGCAGTCTGCGCAGAACTCCCTCGGGACTCCTCCAGTCGATGTTGTTGCCCAGGATCTCCAGCCACTGTAACTTGATACCGTACAGCTCGTCCTCCGCGTCCACAGCTGAGCGTGTCTCACATGCCACGGAGCTGCGGCAACCACGATCGATCTTGCCTGACTTCCAGGATATGAGGCTCACGTCTGCCTCGTCGCCCTTGAGAATCTTCAGAGGTGCCAGCCCTGCCACCAGGCCCTTCGTGGACTTCCCGTCGGGCCGGTTGGCCTCGGAAGAGTCAGACCACTCCACTGGCACCAACACCTGTGACTGAGAGTGGCTGTGGATCACCACGGGTAGGTCAGCACATTCACGAACACGATCGACGAGTCGGTTGGTCTCGTTGATGGTCTGCACAGTGGAAAAGGGTATCGTGCTGAGCAACAGGCTGGTGTCGGCCGAGTGCATGGGACCTGACTGCTCGGACCTCCACCCGATGGCTCCCAGGATAGCTCTCAGCTGGCCCTTCTCTTTGTCAGTGGTCGGCATGTCCTTGGCCTTCTTGCGCTCCGGGGTGAGGTACGCCTTCTCGATGGTTTTCACGTACTCGCTCTGATCCATGCGGAAGCTCCTGTCGGGTTGCTGCTTGATCCTCACCCCCGTCTGCATGAACTCCTCCGACTCCCAGGCCTTCCACTTGAAACGCTTCTCAATCTGCTCCCGTGCGGTGATCCACCTGGGGTCCGCGTCGTTGCCCCCGAGCAGGAAGTCGTCTACGTGCGACCCCGCAATGGCTATGATATCCAGGTCTCCCTTCGCCGCGATCAGGTCCTCCAGCACTCCTGGGTCCGTGAAATCCTTCAGCGCCTCTTTGGTGAAGCTGTTATCCTTGCCGTGCGCGTCACCGTAGAGTACCCACACGCAGGGGTCCATCTTCATCTGGGTCCAACCGAACTCCTCCAGCGCCTCACTCACGGTCATGAACCACTCGATCGCCGCCTCCACGAGCCCGTAGACCGCCTTCCTGAGCCGCATGGCAACACCCTCGGGCATCCCCAGGGCTGCTGCTAACTCCTTCACGGGCAACACGAATAGGTCATGCTGGATCTCTCGGTTCTGCGTGAAAGCTCCCGTCACGTCCGCCTTGTAGCCTTTGAAGCCCAGCCACGCCATCGCCTGCAGCACCAGGTGTCTCGAAGTCCTCGTCATGGTTGGAGCGGTAGTCGGACGGTGCTCGTACTCGGGGTCCATGTAACCCAGGACAACGATCCTCGCCTTCGGCTTCTTCTCGCCCGTGTTCTCGTTCATTTTCCACTCGAGAATCCACCTCATGCGCATGATGTCCTCAGGAGGCGGGGTCACTCCTGGTGGGAGTGTCTCCAGCATCGAAGACACAATGTAGTTCTTCACCTCCGTGGCCTTCGCTTGGCTGAACTTCGCCATCTCGTCGGGGGTCAACGTCCTCTCCGAAATCTCGCGCTTGCCTTTCCGCAGCTGGCTCGCCATATAGGTGCTCATATGCCTCGTGGCCTGCTTGAGCGGCTTGCCCTCCAATGGAACCTCAACGGAGACCTCCAGCGACGTACCTTGACGAGCCCAAAATGCCCGGGCATCTGGAGTGGACTTCGCCATGAGGGCCATGTTCTCCTTCATCTGCTCCTCCGCCAGGGCGGCTCGAGACGCTCGAGCTTGGTCGGCCACCCCTCCTGGACGGTGTCCTTTCTTGATAATTCGCCTCCGCACCGGTGGTGTTGGACGGCTCCCTGAGGTCTGGCCATCTCCCGCAGCCTGCCCTGTGCGGGCCTTCTTCAGTGGAGGGGCTGGTTCTGGCAGTCCTTCCCAGGTTGAGATCTCCATGTCATTCTCTGTGGGGTCGTGGCCCGTGAAGTCCAGGTACTCGTGTTTCAGCGCCTGATTCATGAAGGTGTGGACCGTCCAGGGCGTGTCCTTGCCTCCCATCAGCTCGGCGCATGCGATCCCCCGTGAGGAAGCCGCTCGGATCTGGCAGAGGTCTACCTTGATGATACGTCCGGCTCTTACAAGCCACACCACGGATCCTGCTCGCCCAGGATGGAGGACACGTCCTTCGCCAAGGTCGCCGTCTACTGGCCGCGCTGTCTCTGTGGCCAGGACACTCGCGAGCCCCTTGAAGCGGCCCTTGGCTTCGCCCTTCTCCTTCCTGAAGTAGCGCACCCACATGCCTGGCACCGCGGACTTCACCGCCTGATTCTTCGCGTTCTCCGCTCTGCTGAGGCGCCGCATGTAGACCTGCCTCAGGTACTCTTGCTCTGCCGCGTACATCCTGGTGTAGTTATCCCCGAACTCCTTGTCGACCCTCTGGGCCTCCACGTAGGGCAGCTCGTCGAAGTCGCTCTCAAAGAAGTGTCCGTCCAGGTCTGGTGCCCGTCCTAGGGCGTGTTGAAGGGGTGAGTGTCCTCGAACGTCTTCCCGTGAGTTTCCAGCTGCGGTCGCCCTTGCCAAGGCCTCCTCCGTTGTCATCTCGGGGTTCTCCGCCACCAGCTTATCCATGGTCCCCTTGGTGGCCTGGATGGCTTCCTCGGCGAGGGAGATGTGCCAATGAGCCTGGCCAGGTATGGGTTCATACCCGATGGAGTCGGAATCGAAGTACTCCGCCGCTTGCTTGGACATCCAGGATCCCTCGGGGTCTACCTTCACCCTCTGCGGCTTGCCGAAGTATGGCAACCAGCGCTCCTCGTAGAACGACCTGAGGTCCGCCCATACTGGGTTCCTGTGCCGGTCCTCGCCAACCATGTGGTACAGCAGCTTGCTAACTCGCACCCTGCAGTTCTCGTCAATGATCAGGGAAATCTTGGACTTGACTTTCGTCTGCGGGTGCTCCCACTCGAACTGGTCCGCCTGGATGTGCTTCCACTTTGGCGGGATGGCCTCTAAGCTGACGGGCGGATGCGTAGGCTTGAACTTGTTCGCCTCCTCGCATGCGTCGCAGAGGAAGTCCTGGGCCACTTGTAGCACCTGTGGGCTGGCGCCCTTCCTCCGCAGCGCGTTCAGCATGGAGGCCTTCGAGCTGTGGCCTGAGCCACGGTGGATCGAGGTGAGCCACTTCATGATCTGCTGGTACTCCTTCGAGTTCACGTCTGTGTTCATCTTCATCTCCTCCTGGTCGGCTGCCATCGCCTTGTCGAGGGCCTCCTCGGGCTCGGCCAAGCATTTCAGGAACTCGTGGTAGTCTGGCGCGGCCTCCTCGATCATCGCCCGGACCGCTCGCCTTGCAAACTCGTCCGGGTAATAGCTGGTGGCCGCTGTGAGGTCGCCTCCTGTAAGCTCTCCATGTCGGTGGTCCCCTGAGCACTCCACGGACATCCTAGCGGCCATTTTCGGAGATGTCGTAGCAATCAGCCATTCCTTCAGCAGCGGCAGGCCCTTCTTGTCCTTCACACCGAGCTGGCAGCCTGCCACCTTCACCACAGTCATTGAACAGTCCTCCACCATCTTCCTGATCATCGTGTGGCCCCAGCCCTCGCACTTGATGGGCCATTCCCAGTGTACATGCTTACCTTGAGCCACTTGGTCGTACACCAGCTGCACCGCGCCCTTGTACTCCTTAATGGCTTGCAGTCTGCGCTTCCTGGTGGCCTCGGCCCTGATGGGGTTGGAACCGTTGGAGCCGAGGGTAAGGGTCGATAGCGGGCCGCATCTCGTACTAATCCACAGGTGGTCTGGTTCGGCTTCATCACGTGCCTCTCGAGCCCTTTTGTTGCCTCCATTGGTCCCCAGCTTGAAACCATTCCAGGCACTGATGCGACATACAGCACCCTCTCCGAACTTCTCCATCATCTTCGCGCTCAGGATGGACGTGGGGCTACATGCGACCTCCATCAGCTTGATGCCGCCGTGGGCCATCATCGCCTCGTAGTCCTCCAAGTGGCCGTTCTCCTTGATGCACTTGGCGAGCCAGCGCTGCTTCCTGGGATCCAGCTCCTTGGTGCAGTTCAAGCCTCTGCCAGACCATTCAGACTGGAACCCATTGGCACGGAGCTCCCGACGTTGGGGCCGGCTGAGCTCGCTTGGCCCTCCAGCTGGCCGATCTTCTGTTTGAGCTGGGCCAGACGGTTGGACTCCTTCTCCTCCTTCTGCACCTTGATCGCAGCCTCGAGCCTGTCCTGCTTCACAATCTCGTCCTCCACTATCGCGCCCAATGTCCTCCTGCGGGATGACCTCGCGCCCCCTCGAGCCTGGGCCGGCTCCTTCGGGACCTCCTTCGGATCCCTGGTCATCTCCGCCTTCTCGTCGATGTTCCCTTGCTCGTTGAGCCATGAGGCAAACCGGAGCAGCTCCCAGCTGCTCCCCTTGTCCAACTCCTTCGGGCACCCGGACGTGTAGGACTGGTACTGGCTCTGAGCCTGCGGTTAGGTCATGGCTCCGTGCTTCCCGAAGCCCATGTGGTCGCTCGGGCCCAGTGCGTGCTTCATGAGGATGGCCTTGCGGATTGAGGGCCTGAGTGACGGATTCGTCATGTCGTGTGTCACGTGGGCCCCTACCTCCTCGGCCTTCACCAACAGCTGGGGCTTCTTCCTCGAGCTGGGGCCCTGCATGGCCACCTGCGCTGGTGCCTCGTCCTCCGGAAACATGTGCCCCTTGAGGATCTGTTTCAGCTCGTTCACGCCCCAGGCCGGACTGCACGTCGGACCAAGCTCCTGGGGTAGGTGGAGCACCTCCGCCTAATAGAGGCCCTGCACCACACTGCGAGATGTTGGCATCTGAAATGGCCGCATTGCACGAGCATGTGATCCTGGAGCAGGTGAGCTGGACCGCCCCGCGGATGAGGTTACCCCAGCGCATCCCTTTGTTGCCATCGACCGCCTTCGGCCTGAGATATGGAAGATCTGTTGGATATGGAACTGCTGGGGGCTGGATGCCGTCGGTCACCGTCGACTCGAGTGAACTTGCCTGGCTCGAGCCCGAACGGCTATAGAGATGCATCTGGGCCCTCTGGTTCTCCTGGGATGCTGGGTGAGCTCCGAGATCCATCGTGTGGCTAACCTGAGACGGCACCTGACCTTTGTGAGGAACTGTGGCTCTGGGACCTGATGTGGGGCCCAGCTGAGGCTGTAACTGAACGTCATGATGAATCCCGCAACCAGCTGTGGGGTACCCCTGGTCACAGGGCTGACCTCTGCACGCACCTGCTGATCCGACTGGAGACTCCTCGAGGGCAACGCTGTGGTCCGATTGAGATGGATACATGTAGCGCTCCGACTGCTCAGCCCGAGTGTCCGAGCTGCTGTCTGGCCCCTGACACACTGCGGCCCCTGGCCTACTGTCCCACTCACTGATGTTCTCGCTGATGGTCCTGAAGTTCCGCAACTGGTTCTGGTCTCTGACGCGCTGCCCCAGCAAGTCGTCGACCAGGCTGATGTAGTAGTGTCCTCCATCAGGTGATTCCTCCAGTTGAACGGGAATGTCCGGCGCGAGCTTCACGAACACGGTCACCCCAGTCTCGCAGTCCACGACAGCTCCCAGCTTCTTCAGAACCTTCTTGGACACCAAGATCGGGACATCCTTCGAGAAACCGTTGATGGCGATATCGCCCTCTATGCCCGCGCCCGTGATGCCGAACTTCACCTGTCCGTAGGCGCGTTCCTTCTCGCCATTCCCGAAGCTATAGACCGGCCTGTAGTCCCGGTTCACCTCCAGCAGCCTGGTGTCGCCGTACTTCTCCATGTTCTTGCGGGCCACGATGTCCAGCGCACGCTCGCCACCCATGGCGTCCGTGCATCCTAGGTCGACGATGCCCTTGCCCTCGCGGATGGCCTGGTCTGCGAACATCGCCTCGCACTCCATGTCCTGAGGCTCCTGCTCGGCGACCAGCGAGGCCACGAGGTTGACCTTCAGCTCCCTCCTGCACTCAGCTACCTTCGCGCTCGCCTCTGGCGTGCCAGCAGCTCCTGGCCGGAGCCGGGGGTCATGACGGTCCTGGCAGTCCTGAACCCAGTGAGCTCCCCCACATTTCGCGCACTTCTTCTGGCCCTTGTTCGTCGGCAAGATCTGGCCTCTACCTCCCACCTGGGGAGGAAGTGGTCGGCGAACTCCCGCCGAGAAGCCCTTGCCTGATCCCTTCGGTGTTGGCCGTCCTCCCCGGTAGAAGCCCCTGCTCAGCCGGCTGTCGGCCTGGGCCTCCCGAGCCTGGCGGAGGGTGCGCTGGGCGGTGTGAAGCGCCGCAAGCGCCTCCGCCTCATCCTGCTGAGCTGCCAAGTACGTCTCGATCTCGTCATCGTTCACTTCCTCCTGGCCTGGGTCTTCCTCCTGCCACTCGTAGTTCTCCACGTCGGCTGCGAAGCTGCTCGCGTCTGGTCCATCGTCTCCGTCAAGCCACGTACGATCATCTTCTCCCAGCTGGGCTGTGTACGCCTTCGGGAACCTCGAGTGCCCGTCACGCTCCGCCAGGTCGTCATCCTCCCAGCTCGAGATCAGCTTCTCCCGGATGATGTTGACTTCCAGCGAGCCGCCCGTCGCCGTCATGATGGCAGCCCTCTCGCGCGAGTCGAGCCCCGACCGCGCGAGCATCAGCCAGCCCAGGACCAGGCTAGGGAACACCTCCGGCATGTCCCCGAGCTCCTCCTCTGCATCCGCGTCTTGGTCAGCGGCGCTCCAGTGGTGCGACTCCTCTTTCTCGTCGTCTGGCAGGCCGTCCGTGTACTCCCACGTCCATTCGCTACCCTCGAATGGCCAGTCACGTTCGACCTCGATCCACCTGTAAGGTCGCCCAGACCTCTTCCACGGTGGCGCGACCTGAACTGGAACTGTGTGTCCAAGCGCGCGTGCCAACGCGCGCCTGAGGTACTGGTACCCGGTCTCGAAGCGGTCAGTCCACTGCTGCATCGGCTCTAGCTTGCGGCGCTTCGTCTTGATCAAGAATGTCTCGAGCTCCTGTCCGACGTCGGGCACAGCCTGTCTAGAGCACCTGCGCTCCAGCCACGCCAGGAGCCGTTCCACGCCGTCGGGCCTGGAGAGCCAACCAGTCTTGCAGCGCTCGACCGCGATCTCGGCCCGGCT